CTGTGAGGAGACTGTGAGGAGGCTGTGAGGAGACTGTGAGGAAGCTGTGAGGAGGCTGTGAGGAGGCTGTGAGAAGACTGTGAGGAGGCTGTGAGGAGACTGTGAGGAGGCTGTGAGGAGGCTGTGAGGAGGCTGTGAGGAAGCTGCTACTGTTGTGTCAGGAAGAAGAGTTGTGAGGACCCCGTATTAGTCTAAGAGGTGGAAGGAAAAGAGAGAGGCTGAGCTGGAGCAATGGCCCTGTGTGTGGCTTCTGTGGGCTGTGCTCAGAGAGCCTCTGGGTTAGCTGGTTTCTGGTTAGCTTTGACAGGAGTATTTATTGTGGGGAGACTGAAAAACAGAAAGAAAAGGCCAGGGTATTTCTCTCTCTGGGCCTCAGATGACACCAGCAGCAGCAGTTGTAGCTCCTACGTGGCTTCAGCAGCCTCTGTGCACGCATGCATGCCCCGGTCCTGGCTTCTGCCCAGGGATCCCACCCCTGGCTCTGGAAACACCACTTCCTCTCTTTGTCCCCGCGGCCGGGCGCTGATTATAGCTTCCTGCTGCAGCTAACGTGTATGAGTGGCCTCGTTTTCTGTCTGGCATCTCACCTTTTCCGACACCCGAACAAGCCACAAGCCTTCTCTCTCCTGAGATAGATTAAAAAGGTGTTCTTTTATTGGATGGAGACGAACTGAGACAAGAAGGACCACATCTCAGAAGTAGAACTCTGGGAACTTTCTGAATAACCCTGACTGCCCAACTCCAAGCTGGCTTCCCTTGTCTCTAACAGAAGTTTGCTGGGTTGCCTCCCCAGCCTCCTGGCTGTACCCTCATTACGGTCTTCCATGGGAAGTTAGTTGTATTACCACAGAAATGAAAGATCAAAAGCAATAGGATGCTGGCATAAGAGGCCGACAAGTCTCTGCAGGGCTTGCACGCCATAGGAACCATTCATGTTCTGGATCTCCCAGGCCTCCGACTTCCAGAACGAGAAACCAGTCACGCAAGGCCAGATCCAAATTGTTCCGGCGTCAGGACTTGATGTGACCGAGGTAATCTAACAGGACGAAGTTTTAAGACCCTCTTTTTGTCTTGCAGAACCAAGACAAAGGGAGGCCAGTTTTGAGGGACAGGAAGAGGAGATAAACGCTCAGCACGTGACTGTCTGGGCCGCAGAGGCCGGCAGAGCACAAGAACCGGACGGAGCATGCTCAGTGAGCCTGACCACGGAAGAGGCTTTAGAAACAAAACAGGACGGTGTGGCCGTGCTGTTGGAGCTGCCGGGCAAGACCCTGCCGAAGGAGAGTAGCCACCTCCCTCTGGAGAGCAGAAGCACAGCGGCCATTGAGCTGCTAGCTCACCGGTGTTATCACGATCTTACAGAGACGGTCTGGACTGCAGCAGTTCTCAACCTGTGGGTCACGATCCCCGGAGTTGCCTCGAGATATTTTCATTACGATTCATAACAGTAACAAAATGACAGTTACGAAGTAGCAACGAAATCATCTTAGGGTTGTAGGGGCGGGGGATCCACCACAACCTGAGGAACTGTATTAAAGGATCGCAGCGTCAGGAAGGTTGCTCTAGAGGATGCCTTTATTTTCCTCCTCCATTTTCTCCCTCGTTAACATTTTACTGTAGTGTGTTTGTCACAACTAAGGAAAAAATGTCAATACATTACTGCTCAATAAACTCCCCGCTTTCTGGGAAATTCACTAATACCTCTCTGGCATCCCCACCCCCACCCCCAGGATACCACGGAAGGATGAAAAGCCTCAGGTGGGCTGAGAGTCCAGCCTGGAAACTTGACTGATAATGGCACCCATGGCTGCTGAGCTCCAGGGAGCTCCTGATATAAGATAACAGACCAACCTCCTTTGGCGTTTACCACTTGGAAACTGCAGGGGAACTGATCTCAGATGGAATCTTCCATCCCCAAAGTTCGCTCTTCCACCCTATGAAATCCCCAAGGCCACTGAGCTAATACCCACAGTCTCCACTCTCTCTGCAGAGACCTTTACCTTTCAATTGTTCAGATTAAAGGACAGTTCTGCTTCTCTTTCTTTCAATTCCACATTGCCTCTCCACCAATCAATCATGATCCAACCACCATTACCTTAGCATTGAGAAACATTTCATTTTTATTTTCAACCGATACTAGTTGTTAAGGAGAAATTTTTGTTCCCATTTATCTTATTAAAGGAATACCCAAATACCAGAATTATGGCTAGTATCCCAAACTTCAGTGACATTCCTCAAGGAAGGCCAGGCCAAGCTTTCGTAGCTGTGAGAGTTTCTCAGAGTGTGACCAGGCAGAGGAACCAAAGGGTTGAAAGTCACGGGACTGAAATCTCAGCCTGTGATTTTTATCTGTGCAGCTTGGAAAAATACCTAATGTCTGATTCCTGTAAGCCTTAGAGCTCTAAAATAAAAGGTGATCGATCACAAGTTGGTCTCAGAGTGGGTTTGCTTTGTATTTCCTAATTGCTAAAGATGCTAAATAACGTTGTGACGTGCTTATTGGTTATTTGTGTTGATGTGAGAAAAGAGGTACCTTTAGTCTCTGCTACTGTGCAAGTCAGTACAGTGATTAAAAGAGAACAAAAACCACAATCTAAAGGTAGAAGTGTCATGCGACCCAGCTATACCCTTCCTAGGTATATGCGGAGAGGACTGTAAGTCACATACCACCGACTGACACGCTTGCTATTCACCTTTCACTATTCACAATGCCGAAGAAAAAGGACCAATCCAGGTGTCCACCAACAGATGAATGCATTTTTAATTTGAAAAGGAACAAAGAGGGGTAAATAGGAGAACTTGGTGGGGGGTGGGGTGGGGGGGTGAGGGAGATGATGGAACTATAATCTCAAAATAAAAGAAATAATTTTACCAAAAAGAGAACAAATTAAAAAATGTGGTAGATACTGCACAATGGAGTGTCACTCAACTCAAAGAAAAGTAAAATGGATGGAACTGGAAATTATTATGTTAAGTGAAGTATCTCAGACTCAGAAAGACGTAAGCACATGTTTTCTCTCATTAGAGGATGCTAGATTTTAATTTTTATTTGTGTGGGGCTTTTTTTGTGGTGGAGTACAGATTGTAAAACTAAAAGGGACAATGAAGGGAAAAATAAGTTCTTAAGTGGTGACTGAGGGGTGGGGGAATAAGTGAGAAGACATCCATCATAAAGGGGAACTATTGGTGTGGGGAGGAACCAGAGGAAGGGGAAAAAGAGGGAAGTGGGAGGTGGGGATCAAGAGAAAGGTACACGGAATGCCACAGTGAAGCCTGTTAGTTCTTATGCTATTTTAGAACAACGATTGTAAAGAATATATGTGGATCACTTAGAACTATGCCTGAGGGTGTAGGGAGCATGGATAATCATAGTTGCCAACACCGTTACCATTGCTATTCAGTTCTAGAATATGCTGTGGGTTTTGTCTCTTGGACATTTATCATAATTTCAATGATATGTTCCATGCCTATCTTCACTTCTAGACTACAGTCCTCATGAGTTCAAGGACAACCCTAACTAACTCATAGTAGGTCCACAGGAAATAATAACCTTAATTGTTTTACATGCTGAACACTAAGCCTTTGATGCACATACACATGCACGCCCTCTAAATGTAAAAGCTGGAAGGAAGAGAAAGTACAAGAGAGATCCAGATAAAACATCAGGTACAATGAAAAAATTAGAGAAAGGGGGTGGATTTACGCCAAACAGAAACAAATTATAACATTTATTTGACAAATTAAAAAATGTATGTACTGATGGTATTCAGCATAATGTTTTGAAACATTATGTAATGACTAAGCTAACTAACATGTATGCTACCTTACAGACTTTGCACCTCTTTAGAGGTGAGGGCACATAAAATTTACTCTCTCAGCAATATCCAAAAGTGCAGTCATCATTAACTGCTGTCACTACATCATATGACTGTTATGGAATATTAGTTTAAGATGCGTTGCATTCATTTATACTGTGGAATATTTGTTTAATGATGCAAAGATGTGTTGCATTCTTTTATGTTGCATTTGTTTGACTCCTTGAAGCTATGTTATTTTGCCTGTCTAAAACACCTGATGGTCTAATAAAGAGATGGACAGTCAATAGCAAGGCAGGAGAAAGGATAGGTGGGGCTGGCAGGCTGAGAGAATAAATAAGAGGTGAAAAAAAAAGAAAAAAGGAGTGAGGATCAAGAAAAAGAGAAGGAGAGGCAGACACCAGGGGCCAACCACCCGGCCACACAACCAGCCATGGAGTAAGAAGGAAAGAAAGGAATAGAATAGAGAAAGGTAAAAATCCAGAGGCAAAAGGTACATGGGATAATTTAAGTTAAAAAAAAAAAAAACTGGCTAGAAATCCAAGAAGTAAGAATAAGTCTCCCATATTTATTTGGGAGCTGGGTGGCAAGCCCTCAAAGAGCAAAGAGTGAATAAAACAAAACAAAACAAAACAAACAAACAAAAACTACATATGACAGAACTCTTAAATGCATTCCATTTAAATACTTTTGTCTCCCAGCCTTTGTTCTGTGAGACTCCATCCCTGCTCACTCACAGTTTACACTCTCATTGAGTGTGGTGATCTATGCCTATGATCCCAGTTGGGAGGCTGAGGCAAGAGGATCACAGGTTCTAAGCCAGCCTAGGATACACAGTAAGACAATGTGGTTTTAAAAAGCTCATACATAAACAAATTCAATTGCTGTTCACTTGCTATATCATACTGAAAATGAGTGTATTTTTCTGAAGTTAATAACTAACAAAACTTTAGTAGAAAGACATTGCCCTTTCAAGCTCTGGTAGGAAATAACTCCAGAGGGAATTCTAGATACAATTCCCAACTGTACCTTTCTCGTAAACTGGCATTAAGATGCACATGACATAGGCAAATGTGATATTCAAATGGCACCCGTGTTCCTTGCCAAATGCCCTGAGAGACTGAGCGTGCTCTGTGTATAAATGCTCTCTTGGGCTCGGTGAATTCTAGGCACAGATGTCTGTAAAGTCACCTATATTTCTGCCATAAAAGCAACTTAAAATGTGCTCCGCTCTTATCCAGTCCCGCGGTCAAGGAAGTTGTTAAACGCGCTTCCCCGCCCCCCCCCTTTCCTGTAAGCTGCCTTAGCCTTTGAAATATTGCGCGACAGTTGTCCCCGCTGGGTGGAGGTGGAGCCAGCAGCTGCAGCCCTGGCTGGGCAGTCAGGCCTTCGGTATGCTGCTTCCTTTCACTGTCCTGCTGGGGAGGATCCCACCCATCCTTCGCATTCCTCCTGAGCAAGTCGTGTCAAAGAAGGGCGCGAGAGGAAGCGATTCCCATCCTCCGGGGTGTAATCAGAAGGGAACGTTTTAATTAGCTTCTCAGGATGTTCTTGGTTTCTGCACAGAGCAGCCCTTCCCTCCTGTGGCATGAGCAACCCTTGGCATTCTACAGGAAGGACAAAGTTTTGCCTTGCCGGGCACCAAAATTCTGTGTATTTACATATAATAAGGCGCCTCTCTCTTCTACTTTTTCCACAGCTGCAACTTTGCATTGATTTGTGTAACTACTTGATTGAAGACTGTCTGTGTGATGAGAATTCTAGGAAGGCAGTGATAAGTCTGATTTTGCTATCCCTTGTATTACAAGCACCGGACAATGTGGTTGGCACATGCTAGGTCCTCAATAAATGGGTGCAAAATAAAATAATGAACATGTATTGAAATTTTTCTTTGTGTGGTTTTGTGGTACTGTGTCTGTGTGAAGCTTCTAGAAGGGAGACTGATGACAGTGAACTATTTCCTTTGTACCAGATGCTATTCCAATAGCTACAGCGTATGCTGGAGCTATTAACTAAAGGAAAACTCCTAACAGCACAAAGAGCTGGTCTGCCATTGTCTTCACTTTACAGGTTGGAATCGGAGACACAGAAAGCTTTCCGGTGGTCTGGGTATGGTCTATGCTGCCAAATTTCATGATCTGGAGATCCCCAGTGAAACCATCCCAGAAAGGGGGCTTGGGGAGAGGTCATTAGTTCTTCTGGGGACCCCAGAAGGGATTGATAGGGTACCTTTGTTCCGGGAGAGGCTGGCTGTCACGGGACTGAGTTACTAGAACAGAGGTTTCTGGAAAGCAGAATTGGCTCTCTCTGTTCTAATGTTCTCTCACCAAGAAAGCTCCTTTATCACTTGTGAGCTCTGCCATGTTATAACACACTTGTGAGTTCCTTGCCTGAACCTTGGACTTTCTCCCTCCAAGACTGTAAGTTGGTAAATCTCTTTTTTTTCTAAATGACTTACCTTCAAGCTTTTGTTGTTGTTGTTGCTGCTGCTGCTGCAAAAATCATGAAATAGACTAGGAGAAAGAGAGATTTGGTGACAGTTCCTCTAGAGATAAGCGGCAGAGTGGTGAAGGAAGCAGCCAGCTCTGCAGATGCCTTCCACCTGCGATGGCGTATAAGCGGCTTTGGGGCCCACACGGTATAACTGCCACAGCTGACAGCGTCCTCACTGGCCTAGGCAATGACTCTAAAAGCAAGCCTGGGCAAACGTGGAAATAAATTCATAAACTGTCTCCGGTATTAACAGGTCCTTGTTTATACACAGCCACTTCACAAGGCCAAAGATTGTACGACCACTAGAAAAGTAAAATAAGTAAACACTCTCCCTTAAATGTCTTTGATGTGAAGTGTAACCATACATGGGTATTGGGTTAATTTCTCTCATTTTTTTTAAAGGATCACCTTAAGGACAGGTACCTGTGAATATACAAACTAACTGCCCATACCATTTCAATTCGTGGAATTCCATCACCTCTCCAGTGGGAGAAGAATAAAAGTTAACACCTACAAAAAATATGATTTATGTGCTAGAATCCCAGATGGCCTTTCAAACACAAATGGGCAGAAAACTCTTTCTCCCTGTTCTGAATTCCCAGTGCTCACTGAGCTGCTTTTCTTGTCTGTCAGTTGGTACATTCTATTCTTTTGTGTATGCATGTGTTATCTCCCTACAAAAACTGCAAACTCTTTCAATCAGGAACTGGCCTTGCAGTACAAAGGGTATGCACTGAAGGGGAACAAGCAGAGTGCATTGGTCTGGAGGTACCACGAACTCTTTGTAGAATCTTGGGAAACTCGTGCAACTTCTTCCAACCCCAAGCTTCTCTCTTCAAAGTGACTAATCACAGGGCATGGCATCATCAGCTAGAATTCTTTAAGGACTGCATGGTTTTTGATTCAGCATAGAAAACAGAACTGTATAGGCTTTATGCCAGAAGCCTGTTAAAATTTCAGTGACTAAATAAAAATTCCTCAAGCTC